AAGAAAACGAAAAATTGATGGAAACTATGAGTCCTAATGAAGAGTTTTCTTAACTGCAAATAGACTGAAATTATTCAGATTCCAACACCTTTAAATAAAATATTTTGTATATTTTGTGTATTATGTTGTAATCTTGTATAAATCCACCAAGATTACAACATAATATCAATACAACCATAAATTTATACTGACCAGTATATAAGTAAACATTTGCTATACACAAAGTGTAACCTCAGGTTTTTATGTTGAAAAATTTATGAAGATGTGAAGGAATTTTAAAATTCTTCCAAAATTGGATTGGTCATTAGCATTTCCATTTGTAGTTTCATTGTGACAATAAAATTTTAGATACTGGTACATTTTTTTTAGAGATATTTTAGTCTAATTGTTATAGAATAGTTATTTTGCTCTTCATTAGGAAGCACGAAAGAACAATATTTCTATCAAGTCCTTCATCACTTCTTAAAATGAACGACACAATAAATATTTGGACACATTTTGAGTCCTGTAAAATTTTTCTAAAAAGAAATTGCTTACAAAGCGATATATAAATTATAACTATCGGCGATCTTATGTTTATATTAGTATGGAACTTTATGATGTCAACTGTCATTATTATTTAATTAACATATATATTACTAATTGAGAAAACAAAATTGCTGGACTTGTAGCTTAAATTGTGCATTTATATTAACTGTATTAATGCACTCTACTTTAATTCAGGTTTTCCAAACCTATTTAGATTTTAAGATAGTTTTCTAAAACATATCTCAGAAAATCAAACTATTGTATACTTAAAAATAGTTCAAAAGTAAATTATTTTCTAAACTGAATTAAACTCAATTTTTTGGTTTAATATATTATATATTAGTATTTATTGGATTTATTGCCTTTAACAATTGCACTGTAAACATCAGGAATTTAATCCTGACAAAGTTGAATCGTAGATTTGCATGTTAATATCCAAACCTATCATTTGTAAATTTTATAGAAAATGATTTGTAGATATGTCGTGATTATTATATTATATACGAATGTAATATCTTTTGAAGTTTAATAAACTTCTTTTGTTTGAAAATTATGACCGTGATAAGCACTGAACATCTGATTCAGAGGTTGTAAGTCCATTAAACCCTATTATATATATAGTATAATCCACATATGTCTACTATAAACTATACCTAAGGATATGTTCAATGTAATTTTGGTTTAAACAAAGAAATTTACTTTTAATGTAAGTTATTCCTATATTATGATTTCCGAAAAGAAAGAATATCTAATCAAATTGAGAAAATAAGGCCCAAATATTTTGACTCCTTTTTTAATTATTAATCTGTTATGTTGGAAATCAACGCTTATGTAAAATTAGAAGACTCTCTGTCAACAGTTATACTTAGTATTGTTGTACACTTTGTTCAGTTAGAGATAAACGAAATCTATTGCATATTGAAATCTATTGAATATTGTATCTAATTATGTATTTTTTTTATCAAACAATGGAAATATATATGTCAAAATGCACGGACTTATATGATTAATATTTATCTTTTTCAACCAAAATTACTTTGAACACTTCTATAGCTTTAGACTATGGTGAGTAACAAAAGATATATCTGAGAAAATAATTTGCTTAATCCGCTTATGAAGAAGCAGGAAAAAAGGTCTATCCTGCAAAAGATTGATTCATGAAATGGCTGCGGACAAATGAGGTCGGTCAAATATCGGCATGTTATTCTCAATAATGATTGTGCTGATAAGAAAGGTTTAATTTTTCTAATTTGAATTAGTTGATTAAATTGTCTTTAAATATGAGAATTGAAATGCTTAGTACACAGCTTAGCATGATTAGGATGTTGCAATTTAAACAGGTTGCGCCCATCAAATATAGACACCAACGCAACAATGCCAAAGTTGAACGTAAAATAGCGTTTCAAAATGCTCATATGGCTGTTCAGTATAAATATTTTCATTTGATAATTAAATACATTATTTTGAAAATATTTATTATGCTGCATTAATTAATTTTCTTTAACGTTTGTGCTGTTAGTTTAAATACTGCAATTGTTTGTCAATCATTTAAATATTTTGCACAGCGAATACAAGTACAAGCTGCTCCTACATTACTAATGTTATTAAATGCATATATCGTATTATTGTCTGATTTTAGAAGGATAACTAACTTTTATAAATCGTTAGACACACCCTTTATTTGGAACATCATTGAAACAAATAGTAAAACATTGATAAAATAAAAATGAAGTACAACAAACTGAAATGATGAGAAAAAAATAAAAGAAAATATTATAATATGAAAAGCGAGAAAAAATAAAATCGGCAAAAACAAAGCTCAAATTCGCTGTAGAGTCCCTAAAGTGTATCCTCGACTATTTTCCGAATGTGAATGCGAATACGAATGTAGTGCGGTGTGTGTTAATGATATGATTCGTGAGCTGCGAGTGTGTGAGTGTGTGAGTTACGGAATACGATACTCGTACTACGTTTTTCGTAGTCTTTTTGTGTAGTAAGCGTACGTTTTATTCCAAAATGGCGTACAAAACAGAAGAGAAATTAAAATGTACAACAACAAAACAAACATTATTTGGATTGAAAAAAACAACAACAAAACACAATATAACACAACAACAATGAATGTATGTGTGGAAAAAAATGGCCGAACAGAAAACGGAAACGCAATTGAAGCTGAAAGTTAGGAGAGCATCTATCGTGTGTACATCTTCTTTATGAACACGAAATACAGAAATAAAAATGTACAGAACAATTTTTTTCTTACACAAACAAAAACGAGGCGAACAGATTTTAGTAAAATAAAAACATAAGAGGAAAAATATGAAAAAAAATTTTAATAAAGGAAAAAAAGTTCAACATACTTACAAGTACTAAACTTGCTAAGGACCGACGACGTCAGACTCACAAATAAAACTGATAAAAGTATAAATTTATTGCACTTTATAGTGTAGAATTCTTTTATAGTACAATGTTAATAAATATAACAAATAAATAATATATAATATTTAAATTAAACTCCCAAATTCAATCTAAATAATTTAATTACTATGTATGAAAACATAATGTTATATATACCATAAATAAGGAATTTAATTCTATTAATCTTCACTCTACTTATGTAAGATAATGATATATTAATTAATTAATTAATATATTAATTGTTAATAAAAACATATTTCTTTATTTTAATTTCCCAAAATGGCGGTCCTATTAGTATGCTGTTGCATCATAATGGCATACGTACATCGGATTCTAAATTGGGAAGTGGAGGATCACGTTAATCTTCCCACCTAGTTCCGCTTCTGAAGCAGATAAGAAAAAAGTTCAAGAAACAAAATAGTCATACTATATTTCTATAGAAAATAATTTTATATATACATTCAAATATTCGGACGAGTTATTACGCGAGCAGAATAACATGGGAAGATGAATGGATTTGGCAATATCTTTCTGGCAGCTTTCATATGCCTTTCTTTTAATATGTAAGTAAGCCAGTTAGTTTTGAAACCACTTACATGGAAATATGGGTAGTATCTCTTCTTAAATTAATTAATTTAATTTAATAAGTTGATCAAATTGGTTAACTATTTTTATTAGTGCAATTGCAAATCAACTACTTCAAATGTACATAAATTAAATCAGACCGTCAAAGTATTCAAGAATTATAATGTTAGCATAAGTCATCTAGGTTAGGTTTGACCGAAATCGAATATTTAAATATGAGCTTGTGTTTTTAAAAAGATTTTATTCAATTCCTTAAACAGTGTATCTGCATTAGGATTCATTTTATTTTCGTTTCAATACATATAAAGAACTGAAAAGAAAAAGGATTTTATTAACTATAAATAGGTATGTTGCGGAAGTGAATAGAAATAGTACTGAGCAGTAATAGTGGTACATGGTAAGTTTCAGATTTTTTATAAAAAAATTATACAAGCAATTATTTCAATATAATTATACTATGTATGTGTATTTAAAATTTTGTAGTTATTTGTGAGAGTTAACTCGCTTTTTTTAAATGACGTAGTTGCCTTTCGTTTCTGAATAGAGATATATATAGCGCTATTTACTTTTTTCATTTTACTTAAGTCTTTTTTATTAAATGGTTTGCTAGTGACTATATATAAATTTATATATGTATATTATAAACGCACTTTTTTCATGGATATGAAATTAATATATCCATTTTGAGTTACTATAAAAGCTACAATTTTGCGTTTGAAGATCAAGAATTAAGAACCATTTTTCTGGAAGTTGTTAAAAGATCAACATTTTGTAAGTTTAAATTAGAAGGGTGCCTGATTTCAGAAACTAGCCTACGTTATCAACAGACACTAAAATCGCAAAATTCGCTCTGGTCTTCGGTAAACTAGTCTAAACTTGTAAAACAATGCATAATTAATCTTAAGTTAATAAGTATTGATGCTTAATTTTACTGGTTTGGGCTCCGAATCACCGGGAGTATGCAGTTGTTTATGAACTAGTCATCAAAGATAAGCAGCATCATTGATAAATGAACCAGTACTGTAAGAAATTCAGGCTAAGATACTCCTATTTAGTATCAAAGCAGGAAACTTAGTGATGATTTTCACAGGTTATTGCCTAATAAATACATATGATAAAAATTTGGCTGCAAGAGGGAAGATAAAAGTGATATTAAGAAATTTTTTTGTCAGAACAATCTAAAGACTCTGGACCTGAACTTTGTTAAAGTAAAGTAAATGCACTTTTTCTTACTACATTTCCTATATATTTCTTATAAAAAAAGT